AATAAGACACAGAAGCATTAGCTATAAAGGAAAGGATTGATAAATTTGACTACAATGAAATGAAAAACTACTATCATTAAAAGACCATTAAAAAAGATGAAAAAAATCATAGAGTGGGAGAAGATACTGTCTATTCTGCTACAATGTTTGTTTCTGTAACACAAGTAAGTTCATACATGATTGGTAAGTAGGTGGGATAATGATGTCAATTTAATGGAGGTAATATTGGTTCTTATTCCTTTTTCCCCAGCAAGCTAATGTTTTGTGTCATCAAGTAGCAGCAAGTAAACAGAATATACAAACATAGTTGAATGTTGCATGCACTGTGCATAATGCCCATTCACCTCGATTTGGCCTCTTTTCTCAATTTGGACATGTACTTTATCTTAATCATTTATTGCACCTTTTGCCTTATCTTCATTATTCAGTAGCTCCAACCGTCCTTATACCCCTTTCTGTCAAGCTATCTTTTCTTTTTTTTAAATTGTTATTTAAAGACAAAATATTTTATTTACGCTGGTATTTTTATCAGGAATTTAAAATATCTTTTAAGCTGTCTTAGCATTTTTAATTAGGGTTGTTACTGATTTTGCTAGGCTCTGGTTACAAAGTTGCAATAGGTTTTGAGAAATCAACCCTGACCCTATTTTCTCAGTAATCTCCACTATTTGGGGAACACGATTTTGCAGAAAGTACTGTTTCTAGAAAGCATTTTTTAAAAAAGATTTATTTATTTGTTTTAGAGAGAAAGCACGAGTGGGAGGGGCAGAGGGAAAGGGAGAGAGAATCTTAAGCAGACTATGCTGAGCGCAGAGCCCGCCATGGGGCTGGAGACCATGACCCAAGTCAAAACCAGTAGTCGGATGCCCAACCGACTGTGCCACCCAGGCTCCCCCTTATTTCACATTTTTGCAGAAACTCCCCCTTTGCAACATATACATCTGACAAAGGACTGCAGTGCTTTATCAATAGTAAGACACAGTTATTTCACATGTTAGCCTCTCTACAATTGGATTGTATCTTACAGTAGATGGAATCTTTTGATTTTAATTGCCAGGTTTTTTTTCTTTTTTAGTGATAAAATAGTGGTGCATTTTGGAAGCTGTTGATTACTTAGATTTGATGAAGTACTGTAGTAAAGAACTACAAGTCAAGTTTTAGAAGATAGGCAACCCAACAGAGAAGTGGCAAAAGCCTTGAACAGTCACTTCACACCAGAAGAAATCTCTATGGCTAGTAAATATTTGAAAAAGAACGTGTGATCTCATAAATCAGTTGCACATTAAATACACAGTGAGATGCCTTCACATGTTGGCAGAAGTTTAAAAACCTGACTACAAGTGTTAATGTGGACATAAAAGGATGCATATGGCATGATTCTGTTCATATGAAATTACAAAAGAGGCAAAGCTAAGCTTTGTTGCTTAGGAATGCATTACGTAGTTGGTAAAAAAAAAATTTTTTTAAAGAAGAAAGGAAATCATCATCACAAATGTCAAGAAGGTGGGTACTTTTGGGGGTGGAGGGAAGGAGAGAGTTATGATTGGAGGCGTACAAGGGGGCTTTTGGTCTCCTGGTGAAACTGTTTCTTCACTTGGATGGGTTTGCTTTATTATTACTTGTCAAACTTTACATATATGGCTTATGTACCTGTCTGTATATTTCAGAATAAAACAAAAGAGGGGAATGATCAGTATATCAAATGTTGTTGATAGGTCAGATAATAAGAGGACTGAGACTTGAGCATTGGGTTAAGCAAAGTGGAGACTCCTGATGAACACAGCAGATTGTCTCAGTGGAGTGGTTGGGGCAGTGATCTAATTGGAATGGGCTCAAGAGACAGAAGAGAGGAGTTGGGAGACTGTGAGTAAACAGAACTTGGAGGAATTTTTATGTAAAAAGGAGAAATATAGTAGGGACTAGAGGTGATATAGAAAGCTTTACATTAAATATATAGAGTATCAGGAGAATACCAATATAAATTTTCTGGAATGCTGAAGGCAATAGGGTAGGGTAGATGAAAGGAGACAACTTTTTATGTGTATGGGATTACACATTTTTGGAGAGAGGATGTGAAAATTTGTAATACCTATATTTGTAGAGAAGTAACATTAAAGCTCCTTTTTAAGTCTTGGAAATATATATGTGTGTCACACATGACATTTCATATCTACTCATGGAAAGAATCATGAACATCACCTTGCTTAACACCACTTTGCAAAAAGAGAATGAAGCACAGAGGGATTAAGTGCTTGCTTAAAATTGTATCATTACTAACAATCCCAGACTAAAACACAGAGTAGTTCCTGCCCCTTGGATCAGTGCTCTTTTTATAGTATTATCTATAATATGGTTTGCTCTTAAATCGGGTTTTTCAGGTTTTATATAATCAGTATATTTTATAGTAGAGTTTATTTGGATAATATTTCAATTAGCCTTTGCTGCATAACAAATCACCCTAGAACTTAATGGCTTAAAATAACCATCATGTATTATTTCTCATGATTCCATGAGTTAGATGAGCTCAATGGGGACCACTTATGTGGCTGCAGTCATTGGCACCTCCACTGGGGTTGGAGGGGCTAAGATGGCCTCACTCACATGGTCTGGAACCTTGATGCTGTTTGTTGGCTGGGGCTCTCTCATCGTAGTGTAACCTGGACTTCCATATTTGGTGGTGGAACCATTCCAAGAAAGCAAAGATGGAAGTCTAGACTCCTGAACTTGTACAACATCACATTCTCCACATTAAATTTTTCAAAACAAATCATAAATCCAGTCCAGATTTCAGAGGTGAAGCAGTAGGCCGCCCCATCTCTTGATGAGGAGGTACAAAATATTGTGGCCACGTTTTTCTATCACAGATAACTATAAATGTTAAATTTAATCATTAAATTTATTTTCCAATGTTAATTTTTAGTTAATATGGAGCTAAATAAGCTGTTGATTTGGGGAATCTTAACAATGTAGTTTAGCCAATGCATGAGAAAACAAAAATTTGACAATGACAAAAATATTTTAACAAAAAAAGTTATGTTTTCCAGCTTTTTTATCCTCTGTGATATAAAACAGATAAAGAAGTGCTCATTTTAAAATAAAAACTTGGGTAAGAACAAGGGGGAAACTTACTGAATATACTTTGTTGCTTGTAGTATTGGCTAAATCATTTTCTGAGATTGTTACCATTAATGTTTTATTATCACGTTTGTGGATTTTTTTCATGTTACAGAATATAATAGAATGTAATACATCTAAAAAGTAAGCAATTAATAATCTTCCATTAATTATAATAATAGTGTATTTCCAGGTACTGTGCTAATTGTATTTGTGTAAAATTTCACATAATTTACTTGACCACTGTCTATATCGAGTACCTACTATGATTCTTTCACTGTGTTAAGACTTGGGACTATTAGTTTGAACCATGTAGACATGATTCCTTCATGTTCCATCCCAGGTGGGAATCAGGGAAGGTCCTCTAAAGAAGCTTCTTAAGCCAGGATGTAAAGGATGAGTAGATGTTAGCTGAGTTAAGAGTGGGAAAGGGAAGAGGAAGTCTTCCAGGGAAAGGGATGACTTGGAGAAAGGCCTTGTGGAGGTAAGCAAGTGCAAGGAACATTAAAAGAACTAAAAAAACAAAACAAAACTATTACGGTTAAAGCCTAGAATGTTAAAGGGGTAAGGCAAAAAAGAACCTGAAGAGGATTGTTATTGCTAAAGATCATGGGAAACCTTTGATAGCTTTAGAGGGTTTTTGCTCAGATGATTGTTTTAGAGATGTCACTGGCTGCAGTCTAGGTAAGGGGCATAGCCAGGCAGAAGTAAGGGTTGACCCTATGAGACCAACAAAACAGACCATAGATAGTGATATGAATTAGGTGAGTGTGAGAATGAAGAAAAGTGTATAAATCCTAGAGGTATTGAGGAGATGGAATCAACCAGATTTACTGACCAGATTTGGAATAGTGGGAGGAACCCAAGATGGTGGACTCTCTGCCCTCTGGCTTGGAGCGCCATTAATGACTAGGGAGTATAAGTGGAAGAAAAGATCCGGGAAGGGATTCTTGTGCAGGATTTGCTGCAATATCCCAACTCTGTTTCGAGGCTAAATACTTGGGTCTCTTTTTTGTATTCTCTACTATTTGAAATAATTTTTCTAGTATCAGTTCACAGAAACGTTGATCCATATTCAGTAAAATTCAGTCAAATGTAGCAATGCTGCCGTACCTGAATTTATACTTTGATCTAAAAGATTTTACTTTAGTGTGAATTCCTTGATAGGAAGTTACTATTCTCTTGCCATAGTGTATTTCATTAAACAGTGTACTTCTTAAATTTTTGAAATTACTTAAAGAGAATAATGGCTGAGAAGAAATATGTGAATACCTATCTTAAGCCTTAAGTCCTTTATTCATTAAACTAAAATAATTTCATAATTAATATTTGTCCAAATTTTAAAACTAAAGTGCATTAAAGGAACTTTTAAAAATTGTTTCTCTCTTCACTTATACCAGGGAAGAAAAATACATAAGGTAGCTTGATAAAAATGAAATCTGTATACACCTGAAACTAATATTGTGTGTCAACTGTACTTCAATTAAAAAAAAAAAAAGAATAACCATGTCCCCCAAAATATGAAGTCTTATCATTGGTAGATTTATCTTTCCTTCAGATGTTAAGTAGTGATAATTGAGATAAAAGAATGAATTGTTATGTCTTAGAAAGTTAAGCTTCCTTTGACGCTAGAACTCTTTTTAGTCTTTGTGGTTTGAATTTCATAGCTATCTGTAGATTATATTAAAGTGTATTTAGTCATCCTACATTATTGTCCTATCTTCACCTAAAAATGTTGCCTAAAATTTTCTGGTTGTCTTTCTAGAAGGTACATATATTCAGTAGTGTGTTTCTCCCATGTGTTCTCTATAGACTGTATTTTCTATTCTCAATATTTTGTAAGTTTAAAAGCAACCTATTTTTTTTTCTTGTTTTTTTTTCCTTAGGCACTACAAGGGCCCCCAGGGATGGGGAAGTACCAGGGGTGGACTATAATTTCATTTCTGTTGAACAGTTCAAAGCACTGGAAGAGAGTGGAGCATTATTAGAAAGTGGAACGTATGACGGTATGTCCCCAAATATTGACAACAGCAACAACCCAGAGAACTATCTGAATGGCTGGAATTACTTCAAAGGGAAATTGATCAGTAAAATACCATTTTTTTTTTTTTAAAGTTGTTTTCTGTTGGTCTTTGGGAAAGTTTTCTTTTGGTTAGCGTGTTGGTAATTTACTACCTAAAATGGGATTAAGTAATTAAGCAGAAACGTTCCATCATATTATAAAGCTGATTATGAAGAATATACTGAAATCCTTCAAAACAGCCAGTTTGCACATTTTGTAGTAATTCATATTCATCATATGAACTCAACAAGTGTTTGTTGTTTGCTTTCTATTTGTGGTTAGGAATCCAAATGCTGTGCACTTAAAAAAATCTATAGCTTGGCTCTCTTGGAGAAGAGAATGTAGATTGGGGGGAAAACAACAAAAATGGAATAATTGGTTTTCTTTTCATACCTCTTCTCTACCCACTTGTTTATAGGAAGTAGAGACTTAAGATCAGTTTCAATTTTTAAATGATGCTGTGTTCCATCTTTTGTTCTCCCTTACCTGACACTCTTCACTGGCAAGCTTGTCCACTCCCATCCATGCTCTACTTCTCCATCATTGCTTTCTCATGCTGTTATAGTTGCCTTTTTCACAAGCTTGGTGAAAGCCGCATCATGTCTTAGTATCTTCAGTGCCTAGAGATGGTGTTCAATGAACACCAACCTTGAATTCAACATATCCAAGTATGCATTGATGTTCTCTCCAAAAGAGTAATTCTTCGTAATTTCTCTCTTTAGCTGTACCCTGGGCTCAAAATGGTGGAGTCATCATTTACTTCCTCCTCTTCCTTAGAGTTTCCATCTGTCTGTCACCGAATCTAGACATTTCTTCCTCTGTAACAGCTTTCACGATGCGTTTCTTTTCACTCTCACACCACCTCTAGGCTCTGGACAAGCTCATGTCTGGGCTAGTGCAGCTGTTTCTTCCCCCTGTCTAACCCACCTGCCCACTGCTCTCATGCTTGTCTTCCTCCGCTGCTGCTCCGCTTGTGTCTCCTCTTCGGAGTCTTCTGTGATTTCATTTTTGCCTGCTCAGTTTGCCCCAGCTGTGCTTTCTGGGCTTAGCTCCCACAACTCCATTCATTCATTCATTCATTCAGCAACCCATTTATTAAATACCTACAATGTGCTAGAGATACTCTGGTGAACAATACTGAAATGGTACTGCCTTCATAAATCCTATATCCGAGTAGGAAAAGCAGTCAGAAAACAAGCAAAATCACTATAAAAGGAGACGTTATGAAGGAAACAAAAATAAGAGCTTTAAAGAAAAGAGTAGAAATGTCTTATTTAGATAAGGTGGCCAGTGAAGACTTCTGAGAGGAAATGACCACTACTTATTTTTTATTTTGAGGCCAATAGCCTGGCCTCATTCACCTCCTTCTTAGAGGCAACCATTTGGATGTGTTTAATATGTATGCTTTTGTTCATATGCATTCTCACAAAATGTGTCTTCTGTGCATGCATGTATTATTTGCATCTGGACTGTGTTCTATATCTCCTTCAGTTTTTAAGTGTTCTCAGTTATTTCAGTGTTTTTTAGATTCATCCATGTCGCTGCCCTATATTTACATGTAATTCATTGCTTTTTTAACCACTGCATAGCACTCCATATTGTGAATTTACACGTAATTCATTGCTTTTTTAACCACTGCACAGCACTCCATATTGTGCATTTACATGTAATTCATTGCTTTTTTAACCACTGCACAGTGATCCACTGCATTCTACTTAACCCCCCTTCTAGTAATTGACTTCCACATTGCTTCCAGCACCCCCTCACCACAGATAGAGCTGCAGCATCCTCTTTTTCTAGAGGGTGTGTGTGAGGATGTCCGTGGCACATATACCCAGGGGCAGAACTGTCGGTCTATAAGGTCTGCAGGTACTTAATCTGATGAAGGAGTAGAGGCAGCTCTGCAGCTGCTTTCCCGCCAGCCATGCTTGAGGGGTTGGTTCCTGTAGCAGCTCGAGTAAGGATTCCACGTCCTCACTGTCCAGCTGTATCATTTTGCCAATCTGATGGTTGTACAAGTGGGATCTCCTTTTAATTCTAGCTTCTCTGGTTGTCAGAGAGTTGGAATATCTTTTTATATGCTTGTTAGTGTTTTGGACTTCTGCAAATTGTCTTTTCATTTGTACTGTACATTTTTTCAAAAGTGGGCTCTCAATCCACATTCCAGTTTGTGGACATTCCTTAGATATTTAGATATTTATTTAGACATTAATTCCTTATAGGTTTTCTCCCGTTCTGTCACTTAATTATGCTTGTCCCTGTGTTTCTTCGTTAAGCAGAAATCCTTAGTTTTTGTATGTCAGATTTATCACTGTTTTTCTTAGGGTTTGTGCTTTTGAAGTTTTGTTTAAGAAGTCCTTCTCTGTCCTTAGATCACAAAGACATTCTCCCTCATTTTCTTCTGTTAAGAACATGGGCAATGACAAAGTGTTATATTACATATTATAATTGCTGTGTGCTAAATTTAAAGGAAATGCAAATTGAAATGTATCATTTCACACCCATCAGGTTGACAGAAATTTTAAAGTCTGATAATTGTGGGAAGTGGAAACTCCCATATACTGCTGGCAAGAGTATAAAATGATACAATCCCTTTGGGGAGCATTTTGGCAACAGCTAGTAAATTTGAAGATGCACTTAACTCTGACCCAGCAGTTCCCTCTCTGGATGCCTGCTCTAGGAAATCTTTATCTATGTGCATATGTAGTCACATACCAGAACAATCATTACAGCGTTATTTGAAATAGTGAGAAAATGGAAACAACTCTTAGTCAGGGAATTCATAAAAGGCATTTTAACTTGTTCATGAAAACGGACTATTATACAGCAATTAAATAAACTTGAATCTACATGATTGAACAGGAACAAGTCTTAGAAATATAATTGTATAAAAGGAAAGTTGCAAAAGAACACATACAGCATACTGCTTATAAAAAAAGATATGAAATGTTAGAAAAACCTTTATGAACCTTTTATGAAAACAGTGGTATTTGTATGTTATATATGCATACACATACATCCTAGTTGTACACAGTGTGCGGGGAAATGACACATACCAACTTCAGAACAACTCAGGGAGCACATGGGAAGGACTGACAGGAAGTTAGGGCCTTAATTGAACATGTGACCGTGTATGTATATCCTTAAAAAGGGGGAAAAAAGGGAGACCTGAAAGGAATGCGGCAAAAGTTAAATAAACAAATAAGGATGCGTCTAATACAATTGTCTCTGATTCTGTATGTATTTAAAATGTTTAATAGTTGGTAGTTCTTTTTGAAATATGAAAAAACCTTCAGAAAAGAAAAAAGGGAAAAAAACCCTTCCAAAACAGCTTCAAAAAGATGAAAACCTTTTTCTGTCAATAACTATAGTCAGGATTCACAAACCATGTCATTTTTATGCATTGCTGTATCTAAAATCTTGATACTTACCAACAACTCAAGAAAAATAGGCCTAATTTCCTTATAGGCAACGCTAGTTTTCTTTAAGTCCAATAATTGTGTTTAAATAAGAAGGCTGCCAGAATTTATTATGAAGACCTAAAATCTTAATGATCATGGGTGGCAATCAAAATATCCTAAATTTGTCTGATTTCACCCTAGAAAACAGTTAAACTTCCTAGAGTGAGATAATAATTACTAAGACTACACAGTAAAATGTGTATCTAGTGTTGCTACTAGAACTACCATCCTTAGGGAAGGTGGATGTTTGATTTTTGTCATGGAATGTCCAAATTCCTGGGTAGCATGATTGTTGGACACAGTGCAGGAAAAATTGAGATCCTGGAGCATCCTGTTCCCCAACCAGACCTCTCTTTGGAACGTTTCTGGGCCCTCTGCCCCAGAGAAGTGTGAGATGGCCTTTTCACTGGGTCCTTGTTTTACTGTAGGCTAGAAAGTTTGCAGAGACTCTCTGAGTCTGTTTTAAATACAAATCTTCGCATCCATCTGCCTGACAGGGGTAACTCCATTTCAGATGTGGATTTGGGAGCAAGGGAGTAGTTGAGTGGGGAGAGGCAAGATGTAGTTGAAAAATTTTTTGGTTTTATTTCATTGTTTTGTCTTGAATATTTTAATGACAATTACCACCCAAAGTCAGATGTCCAAAGAATTATCTTGATGCTTTTCCCTCAAGGCACACACAACCAAAGGTAAACTGATCTGGAGATTTGCCTCAGTATTATGGTGAACAACCTATACTTTTTTTATCTGGGACAAATAATTCATTGTATACCCCATTAATTTACTTTATGTGATGAGCATCTTAATTGCCTCCTTAGGAGCCCAGGAATTTGATTAGAAGGTGTGATTTTAAAAAATAAATAAATAAAAGAAGATCATGAATATTTTATTCCCTAACCATATCTTTCGATAGCATTAGCATAGTGGCTGATAAAAGGTTGAAACCAGCAGGAGCCAAAAACTGTTAATGTAGTTAGACCTTTTGAGTGGTTTTCCATTGTATTTGGCTGCCTACTGGAAACTGCGTGACAAATTAAGAAGATATTCAATTGTTTTCATTCTACTCTGGAACATTTATTTTTACTTCAAAAATTCTTGATCCTCAAGGCTTAGAATATTAAAGTATTTCTTGCTTTCCTGAGAGTAAGCCAATATTGAATTATTCTAATAATGTCTCTATTTGTTCAATAAATTGTCAAATAATATAATTAGAATGCTCAGAGAACCTAAAAATTACTTTTACATAAACAGCCTACATTTCAGCACACACTGGTTCTTAGCTTTATCCTTTACCCACATATTTCCTCATTTTACCAAAATAGTTCATTATGTTACACATCAGAACAAAATTATTTGAGTTCGTTTTCTCTTCCTTTACTCCCACTTCCTATACCAATTAGTCTTACACAAGAGCATTGATGCATTTAAATTCACAAATCAGGCCCTAATTTAGAGCCCATGCAAAGCAAGCCCTATAGGAATAAACAATCTGTGTACATGAAGTCAACTTCCTATCTATCCTTAGTACAAATAGTATTAAAAAGTTAGATAATGTTAGAATATACATGGGCACTTGAGAAATTAGTTCTTTCTGTTCTTTCTCCCTCCTCTGCTCCCAAGAAGAAGCGTTTTGGCTTCCTTTTGGCCATTCAGAGGCCTCGGTATAAGGCAGCAGGGCAGAGACATACACTGGACCATATTGTTCTGACTCTCAATTCAGCATCAGTCCTTTCAGCTGCCGTTATTTTGTCCATTTCAGGAAACTTCTATGGAACTCCCAAGCCTCCAGCAGAACCCAGCCCTTTCCAGCCAGATCCAGTTGACCAGGTCCTCTTCGATAATGAGTTTGACACCGAATCCCAAAGAAAGCGAACTACATCCGTCAGCAAGATGGAAAGAATGGACAGCTCTCTTCCAGAAGAGGAAGAAGATGAGGACAAGGAAGCTGTTAATGGCAGTGGAACTGCAGGTTTGTAAACAGATGAACAAATTCTAACTGATCTTCCGGGTTGACTTGAACATGACACTGAACTGGAAGTGGTAAAACCTTTCCCAGAGCATGTGTAAAGCGAGTGATGCAATTCTAATTATTTTTAAGAGATTGTGTGTGGAACAAAGTGTATCCCTGTCAACCACCTTATAAGGTGAAGTGAGGTTGCACCAAGTGGCAGTTTTGATAAGTCCATAATAAGTTCTCATTAGTAAAAACATAACATGCCATGATCCCTCTGCTTAAAAGATTTGAGGTTCCAAGATAGGAGAATCTTGTTAGCCTAAGTCATACTTTACAGGATATGGACAAAATACGGTTTTAAGATATAACCTTCAACTAAAACTGCAGGGGGTTAGAAATATGCCAGTAAAAATTATCTGAAAGATTTGTTAGCACTATGTTGAGTTTAAATTCTGAATCACTCAAAAAAAATTTTCCAAACCTGACTCTCTTTTCATTAAATGCAAAACCAACAAAAATTTAGTGGTGAAGAATCTTCCTTTGAGTACCCCTAAAAAATGTGGTGTTTGCTCAGGAGATTCTTACCCTTCTTCTTCTTTTTTTTTTTTTTAACTTTATTTATTCATGAGAGCCGGGGGTGGGAGGTGCGGGTAGGGAGAAGCAGGCTCCCTGCTGACCAGGGAGCCTGATGTGGGGCTCCATCCCAGGACCCTAAGATCATGACCTGAGCCGAAGGCAGATGCTTAACCGACTGAGCCACCCAGGCGCCCCGATTTGTACCCTTCTAATTGAGAATATAAGAAGGAAGCTACAGAATCACAGCAGAACTAATTTCAGTGCTATTTTTATAACATGTTTATTCAAAATACTAGAATATGAACTTCATGAGGGCTGGAAGTTTTGCTTGTTTTGTTCATTGCTGTACCCCTTGCACCATTAAGCAGTGCCTGGCACAAAGTAGGAACTAAGAATATTTTATTAATACCCAAAAAATGAATGAATTTGATTACATCCCCAAATTTGCAGAACCCATTACCATATTATTTTCCCAAACCATCTGATGTTTTCTTTCATCAGCTACTAAAATTTGCTGTGTATATTGTATTTACTGTCTTAATATATCCACATTTCTGCCCTCCTCCAGAGTGGGAGTCCTGTCTTATAGTCCTAACACCTCACATAGTTATGATACATAATATGTTTGGTGTTAAGTTAATTACTCCTGTATCCTTGGGTGTAGAGACTGAGAAAGGCCTAAAAGGTTTAGGTGAATTCCCATCTAATTCTTTAGGGGCTGGTAAGGGAAATTGTCATACAGTAGAGCCTTTTGATATTGATGTCAGCTTTGTTTTCCCACAGAATTAAGTCTGTTAACATTTTTAAATGTTTTCACAGACCATGAATCTGTCCCAGTGTGGGAATTTATATATTCTTATTTTGAAGGGGGAAAAATGTTCTGTTTTTACTTCCTAATGCAGATCTTCTCAGTGACCACTGCAGTTCCTTCAGAGGGAAACCTCTCTGTGAGCCCCGTGGCTTTATGTTTGTCATGTAAGCCAATTAAACCAGACGTTACTAACTTTTTGACGTTAACATTTAAAGGGAGTGTATCCGAGAGTGGGAGGCAGTTTGTATACTACCTCTTATGTGTGGGTACCATAGGGCACTTCCACTGTATTATATATTTCTTTGTAAGAAAATATTCAGACTATTTTAAGGAAAAAGAAAACAATAAAAGACAGGACTAATAGCCCTTGGTTTTTTTCTGAATAAGTACTAACTCTAGTTGTTAACTTCTTGAAAGTTGTGGAGATGGGCTTTTTGTGTTGCTTTTGGGGACTAGAATTCCTGCCTTGAAAAATCAGAAAATTGTTGGGGATGGAAGTGGTGAGGGGATAGTTAAAGATTTATTTGTATCCCCAATATGTATATTATATCTTGCTGAAGAATTCATGTGAGAATGCTAATACGCCCATGTAGGATGACATATGTTATATAATAATGCTAAAATTTTTTTCCAAGTATTGGTTGTTACATAAACTGTATTTTCAAGTCATTGACTATTAAGCGAACTCTTTTACACAGTCATTTCAAACTATGTTCAGAAAAGTATGATACATCATAGAGTTGCTTTTGTTTTCCTCCAACATACTTCTGTCCCAAGATTGTAACTCCCTTCCAGATTGATTTACACATTGGGTGCCTTTTAATTTCTGTCACTTTTTTGCCTGGAGAATGAATCGTGGGTTTTATTCTAGCTATGCATTCAACAAATATTTATTGAGCACCTGCTAGGCTAGTAAGTGCTGGCATTTTTCTAACAGCTAAGAATAAAGCACTGAACAAAACAGACAAAAACTCTGGTCTTCATGAACTTTGCCTTCTAGTGGGAGAGAAAAAAATTATCCAACGTGAATGAATAGCATATGGTATATTAGAGAGTGCTAAAGAGAAAAACAAAGCAGAGAAGGAGAGAGATAAAAAGTAGTGGATTTTAGATAGAGTGGCAAAAAAGATCTCACTGAGAAGAAGACTTTGAAAGAAGCGATGCTGTAAACCCAAAATATCTGGGAGGAGAACATTCCAGCCAGAGGGAATTTTAAGTACAAATGCCCTGAGGTGAGAGCATGCCTGGAATACTCAGACAAAGGCAAGGAAACAATATATTTGGATACAACATGGACAATGCATTATATATGGTTGGAGCAGAGTGGTGGAAGGAAATAGAATAGTAAACAATGAGGTCAGTCAGATAATGATGGGGGTGTGTGGAAATGCATTTATGTTATGTAGGATCTTATACATCGTTGGAAGAATTTTGCTTTTTATTTATTTTTTTTTAAAGATTTTATTTATTTATTTGAGAGAGAGAATGAGATAGAGAGCATGAGAGGGGAGAGGGTCAGAGGGAGAAGCAGACTCCCTGCTGAGCAGGGAGCCCGATGTGGGACTCAATCCCGGGACTCCAGGATCATGACCTGAGCCGAAGGCAGTCGCTTAACCAACTGAGCCAGCCAGGCGCCCAAGAATTTTGCTTTTTAAAAAAAGAATTTTGCTTTTTATTCTGAGATGAGAAACCATTATAGGGTTTTGAGTAGGAGAGTAACCTGATAAAACGGATTTTAATAGGCTCATTCTGGCTACTGAATTGAAAATAGGCAGTAGGATGGCAGGCATAAATAGTGATACTAATTAAGAGGTTATTGCCGTAATTTATGTGAGAAATAGTGATTTGTTTGGACCTGATGAAAGTGTGACAAGAAGAAGTGGCCTGAGCCAGTAACATTTGCTGACAGACTGGATTTGAGGTCCGTGAGTGCAGAGTCAAAGATCACTTCAAGGGTTTTAACTTGAATATCCAGAAGAATGGAGTTGCCTTTAGTGAGATGAGGTAGATTGTAAGAGGAGTCAGTTTGGATTGGAAAAGGGTAGTAGGAGCTCCAGTTGGGATATTTAAGCTTGAGATGCTCATTAGACATCCAAATGCAAATGTCCTGTTTGAAGTTGGATTTAAAAATCAATGTCTGGTCTGAAGATGTATATTGGGACATCATCAGCATACAACTTGCAGAGCAGTGACACTCAATGAGATCACCAAGAAAGTAACTGTAGAAAGAGAAGAGAAAATGTCCAGAGACGGAACCCTGAGAAGACCCTCTACTACGTGGAGCTCAGGGAGACTGAGAAGAGCCAGTGAGATAGAAGGCACACAGGAGGGTGGAGGGGCCTAGAAGCCAGGGGAAGAGAATGATCAGCTATGTCAGATGCCACCGATAAGTCAGATAAGATAGCCACTGAGAACTGATCATTGGATTTAGCTATGTGGAGGAGACAGGGTCATCCAGTGAGATTAGGGCTGAGGGAGAAGTAATGGCAGATTTAAGAAGAAAAGTATGAAGTAGTTATCCAGGGGAGTGTCAGAGTGAATGGACTAAAGGAATTTCCTGTGATTATCATACACCATTAAATGCCCTCTTGAGGTTGGTTATCAGCTACATGTGCCCGCATAGAGTAGGTGGAGAGATGTAAGCAGAGTTATGCCTCAGCCGGGCACGTATGCTGAAGTAAGGTTGAGGCAGAAGATCCAGTAGTGTTTGCAAGGGAGCGACGATCATGGCTGATCACGGAACTTAAGTTGCCTGAGTAGGACAATGAGGACATGGCGAGGGCCCAGATGGGGGGTGAGGAACGGTGAAGGGTAGTAAGTAGCTGTATTAATGGATTCTAGAACTTGATTGGATAAAGGACAGTGAGAGTGGAAGTACTATATGTAATGATATCTAAGGCGTCTTCTAAGATTCTCTGATTCCTAGACATTGCCCGCAGTTTGGAATTGTCGTAAGTTCGAAGTGCAGGAATTGTGAATTCCCTAGATGGTAACCAAATTTTAGTATTCTTACCTACCTCGTGGACTCTGGGACTCTCGAAGGATTGTGATATCACCAACAGAGAATTATATTTAACAACAGAAAGTCTATTGAGCGTAATTTTTAAAAACTAGTATTATGTTAAAGGCCTTTGTTAAATATGTGTGAGACAGGTTGGTAGAGCAGTTCAGAGTGTGGACCACCTAGATTTGAATCCTGACTTTGTGTTATCAGCTGTGTGACCTTGACTAAATTAACCTCACTATGCCTTAGTTTCTTCATCCATAATCTAAAAAACATAAGAGTAATAATAAATCATCACAGGGCTGCTGTGAGGATCATGAGTTCATATATGTAAAGTGCTCCAAGTAGAGCCTGGCCCATGAAAGGACCATGTAAGGCAGCCCTGCAGACGTTGCTGTCAGTCGTACACTAACTGATACATATTCACAATATTCCCAATTGATCCCAGTGTTGCTTGTCGCTTCTTTCCCAGACTGGCATCAGAAGTGCTGTGACTGGGTTAATGTCACTTAGATGAAAAAAATTCAGTGTGTCTATTTGTTACCTCAAAAATGATAGCAGAACAGGGTGCCTGGGTGGCTAGTCAGTTAAGCATCTGCCTTCAGCTCAGGTCAGGATCCCAGAGTCCCAGGAGTCCCAGGATGGAGCCCTGTGTTGGGCTCCCTGCTCAGCGGGGAGTCTGCTTCTCCCTCTGACCTTCCCCCCTCTCATGTGCTCTCTCTCTCTCATTCTCTGTCTCTCAAATAAAATTTAAAAAAAAAATGATAGCAGAACGTGGACATAACACACATGGAAGTTTGCAATAAATGTTTGGCATTTTGTTGGAAATGAAGAGAGCTGTTTGAAGAGAGTGTAACTTTACCTGCTTTGCATGCTGTTCTGTGTTCAATGGCAGAAAACGGAGAGAGGCGTTCTGAGTCGTCTGATTGGATGAAGACTGTCCCGAGTTATAACCAAACTAATAGCTCCATGGACTTCAGAAATTATATGATGAGAGATGAGAATCTGGAACCACTGCCCAAAAACTGGGAGATGGCCTACACTGACACGGGGATGGTCTACTTCATTGAGTAAGCAAATGTCTGTATCTCTCCTGACACGCCCTGTCACTGTGAGGCTTGGCTTACCATTGCTTTATCCTCATTCACAAGGCTTCCATTTCTTTTGTCTTTCTTTAAAAAATTTTTTCATATAAGTAACAGTTGATTCTTTAATCTGATGATTTCCCTGGATGATATTTCATTTTTATTTGACTTGGATAAAGGACTTCTGGTTTTATAAAAACAGGAGGATTAAAACAGTTTTATCACTAATCATGAAAAATGTAGGCATGGAGGGTATTTTGCCTTGATGTTTTTTAAACTTTTGATAGATTGTCCAACTTATTGAACATTTCAAGAATTATCATCCTGTGGAGGGAGGGCATATGTATTATCTGAGCTGAATATTTTCAGTTTTAGATGTATTCAGGCAATACAGCTGAATAATATAGGAGGGAAATATCACGGATCCTCAGACTCATTGATACAATATAAATTGACAAACCCTAATTTATGAGAAAGCGCTATTAATGTAAATATAAATATATTTATAGAGATATAGATTACCACATGTATTTGATTAACCTAAAATTTTATATGGTTTACACCAGAGAATAATAATATGCCAATAATTTTTTGGAAGTTTCATTATGAAGCATTTTTATATTCTTATGCAACTATAATTCTCATCTTTTAAAATAATTTGCACAGAGGCAGAATATGAATGTAGTGAAGTTACAGAATACAACAGTTAAATAACAATTAAAATATTGAGGGCTGGACACTACAGTCAAGGAACATATACTTAAAAATGAGTTAGGGGTGGGAGACTTGAATCTGTTTCCTCATTTGGTCCCAAGTTCCACATCCTTCCCATAGAGTGAGCATCTTGCTTTACCAAGTGGAATTACAGTATTTGAAAGACATAGATTTTGTGTTAATTTTATTCTTTTTACCCATGGTACAGTGTTGATTATATTATACATGTACATAAACATTAATGACATGGATTATGCAAAACAGACAATTAGGTATACTCTTCTCTCTGGACAATTTGAGGGGTTGTTCAAGGGTAATTTAGACTTTTGGCTTTCATTCTGATTTCAGTACTAAATCCCCAAGTAAGGTGTGGAGTCATCAGAAGTTGCTAGAGTATCTTCAGAAGCAGAGTGTGAGACATTGAACCTGACAGTACTTTATCCTGTAAATGGGGATAGGTTAGTAAATTATAGAGAGAGGAGAGAATTTATAAAAGAAATGCTTTTAGAGTTGAACATTATTAAAATGCATTAAAGACCTAGATATAAGACCTGAAACCATAGAACTCCTAAAAGAAAACAGAGGGACAAAATTTCATGGCATTGAATTTGGTAAGGACTTCTTGGATACAGAAACTACAGGCAACAAAAACGAAAATAGACAAACAGGACTTCATCAGACTTAAAAACTGTGCAGCAAAGGGAAGCACTCAATGAGTGGAAAAACAGCCGGGAGAATAGGAGCAAATATTTGCAAACCCGTATCTGATAAGGGGTTTGTCCACAATATAGCTGAATAGTATTTGCTACTGTAGCTAATGTATTTGATCTGTGTTACTACTGCTGCTAAATCATGCATCTGTAAGAAAATAGGTTTGTAGCCTTTAGCTGTTATGTTTTGGGTATAGCCCCTATGGACATTTCTTTACCTTGGGAAATCTTGGGTAAAATCCTAGTAGATTGCCTACATCTGCTAATTTAGCAATAAAAATTTTGGAGCATTGGAACCAAAGTTAAGCTTTTCTCAAGTAGCAATTTTGAATTTGGTTTAGCAAGATACATACATTTTTTTTTTTTCTAACAGTCTACATGCTACTAAGCCTCGTTGGAGTCCTGATCCTTTTCCTGTTGCTAAAATCCATTTAACGGGCTTGAGTGTGGAGAAATTATCACTTTGACAGAATGGATAACACAGACTTTCTAGAAACAATCCCAGTTTCTCCTATTCAGATTATCCATTATTCAGCATACAGAAGTGTTTCTACCAGTTTACCAGCTAGTATCATACCTGGCAATGTGTAAGAAGGGGTTGCAATGGCCCCAAGTAGCTCAGGAGTTAGAAAAGGCATAGAAGGTATGATTAATTCCCTGAAACCATTGGCTTAATTTCCTAAGAATTAATTATATAAAGGATAGGGAGTTTATCTCATGATAAAAACACCAATGAATGATATTTTTTATTCACGTTATTCTCACTCTACTTTGATAATAACTTTAATTTACATTTTGTTGTTTTCCGGTATATTTTCCTCCATGGTGTTTTCTTTCTTTAATATCCTCATATTTCAGATGTTTGTACTATACCACTGTCTACTCAGCAGTTGATGGCTTTGTTTGCGCATTGGTATCTACTGCATGGTGACACTGCTCCTTGAAGCCATCTGTTGCCTGCTTCATTAAAAGGAGTGTGTGTGAGGGGCGGGGGGATGGGGGGGCTTTTGGTTCTGCCTTCTTTTTTCTATTCAGTATATGATCCATAGTTTGTAGAGTAGACTTTAACTGTACCCATCATTTTTACTTTCATGCTGCAGAAATAGATACTTGAAGACTTTTTATTTTATGAAACTCTTTGATTTTAAAAAACCCTTTTGAGGGCAGGGGAATCTGTTTAGCACTATATCGCCAGCCGTCAGCACACAGTGCCACACATCACAGGTACTCAAGAAATAGAGTGTTTTTTGAAGGGAGAGAGGAAGGAATTCAGCCAGCACCAAACCAAGTTTTCAAGGCAGCTTTTTCAACTGGATAATGCACAGTATGGGGCTATGTGCCCAGCCCACCCTTTGAAATATTTTTGACTGCTTAAGTCAGTGTCTGTTATTCTGCACTTGGCATTTTACCCCTTCTTTTAGCGTCTTCTTTCTCAGATTAATGCCTCTAGGATTACCTTCCCTGTATGGCAGTTTTGAAGGAGCAGATTGAGAACAATAGGATTATTGAATCAGAGGTGTGCAAACAGAGCCTGTAGGAGATAAATGTGCAGACATCATATACCTTTCAGTCACTTTTAATCTTTGCTTTTGAAATACTTTCCTCCCTCTTTATTTTACTGTTTCTAATTGAAATCTTTATTCTGCAGCCACAATACCAAGACAACCACCTGGTTGGATCCTCGTCTTTGTAAGAAAGCCAAAGCCCCTGAAGACTGTGAAGACGGAGGTAGAGATTCAGAAATCTTTTATACTGTACTTATTCACTTAATCCTTGTTTTTCTTGCTTGGATAGTGAGTTTTCCAAAACCCTAAACAAACCATAATATGCATAAGCACATAAGCAGTGGGTGGATATCATATTCAGCTGACTCTTCACAATTGTGTCACTGCATCTAATTTTATGAGAGACTTTATTTCTCTCTTTTTGAGAATTATACAATGAAATCCTTGTTAAGAGTCTTAATAAAAATGAATTACCCTTTTTTCACATTTGTTTTAAAGAAAAAGTTTTCAATTTCTAAATAAATATTTTAATAAATTAGATACATTCTTAACCACAGGATAGCCTCATCATGGCTATTGCACCTTCAAAAATATATTTAATTTAGTATCACGAGGATGGATGTGTTAGTATTTATGGCTGTTCTTTCATTTAGAGCATCAGTAGAAACTGAGTGAAAGTCTCTAATATATCCCGCCCCCCACCCCACCCACACAGTTTTTATTGCCTAGTAGAAAAATTTCTCTAAGAATTTAGGTAATAATGCTTGTCTATCTTATGTATTATATAGTTTTTAATAGTATAGTCTTGCACATATATATAGACTTTACCCCAACCAAACCTGTTTGCTATGCCTTCTTGAATATAGAGTGAAGATGAATAAAATTTGCATTCATTTTGTATCACCGTATCAGAAATTATTTACCTTGGTTAAAAATGAATGGCTGCGAACGAGTTTCAGATAGTCCTCCTATAGATTGAACTCCAATCTATTAAAAAAATTAAACAATTTATATATTTTGTTCAGCATGATTGCAATAGTAAGAATTTTTCTAGGAACCACCAATTGGAAAAGAATTATTTTAAAATTGTTTGCAGTGATATAAAAAAAATTAAATACCTTGGAGCAAATCCACTGAAAGATGCACAGATCTACTGAAAGATGCACAAGTCACACTGAAAACTACAAAATATCCCTGAAAGAAATTAATGAAGACTTGAAATAATTGAGGAGATACACTATGTTCACAGATTGAATGACACAATATCGTTAATGATGTTCATTTTCCTTAAATTGATACCTAGATTTAGCACGATCCCAATCAAAATCCTCTAAGTCTGTCTTGAAGAAATTGATGAGCCAATTCTAAAATATATATAGCTCCAGTTAGCCAGATAGTCTTTTAAAAGGACAGAGGTAAAGGGTGTAGACTACCAGATTTGAAGAGTTACTATAAAGCTCAGTAACCAACACAGTGTGGCATTGACATAAGAATAGACAAGTAGATCACTGGAACAGAATAGAGAATCCAGAGATAGATGCACACATATGTAATCACTTAATCTACAGCCCAGGAGCCAAATCAATTCAATGAGAGGAGGAAGATCTTTAACAAATGGTGCTGGAAAAACTGGGTGGATATTCGTAAGGAAAAATGAACTTCAACTATACCTCACTCCATACACAGAAATTAATTTCAGGTGGATCAAAGACCTAATCATAAAAGCTAGAACCCTAAAGCTTTTAGAGGAAAATTTAGGCGAATATCTTCATAATTTAAGGATTAGCAGAGATTTCTTAGGCCACAGAAAGTGTGAACCATGAAAGAAAAACTTGATAAATTGGACTTAATAAAAATTTTAAATTTTTATTCATCAAAAGACACCATTAAGAAAATGAATAGACAAAGTCGTAGGCTATGTGATATGTATCTGACAAAGGAATTATATCCTGAATCTATAAAGAATGGTTATAACTCATTAATTAGAAGACAAACAACCAAATTTTTAAATGGGCAAAATATTTAAATAGACATTTCACCAAAGAAGATCTGCAAATGCCCAATAACCACTAGAGAAGATACTTAACATCATTAGTCATTGAGGAAATGTGAATTAAAACCACAGAGAGACGCCACCTTATATCCACGAGAATGACTATAATCAGAAAAGACAGATAATAACAAATGTTGGTGAGGATGGGAAGAAATGGTAACCCTGATACAGTGCTGGGCAGAATATAAGATGGTACAGCTGCTTTGGAAAACAATTTGGCAGTTCCTTAAAAGGTTAAATACAAATTTACCCTATCACCTAACAATTCCACTCCCCAGTCATCTACCCAGGAGGAATGAAAACATATGTCCACACAAAGACGTGTCTGTAAATATTCATAGAATCACTATTCAAAATAGCCCCAAAGTGGAAACAGCTCAAATGTCCACCAACTAATGAATGGTTAAATAAAATGTGTAATCATCCAGTGGAATACTAGTCAGCAATAAAAAGGAATGAAATAGTTTACATACTACAACATGAGCAAATCTCAGTGTGTGTGCTAAGTGACAGACACTAGACACAAAAGACCAGCTACTACAGGATTCCATTTGTATGAAATGTCTGGAATAGGCAAATCTATAGAGACAGAAGGGCAAATCGGTGGTGGTTGCCCAGTGGTGAGGATGGGAACAGAGATTAAATCACATGAGGGATCTTATTGGGGCGATAGAAATGTTCCCAAACTGGATTGTGGTGATGGTTGCACAACCCAGTAAATTATTAAAACTCCTTGAATTGAACACTTAAAACAGATTAATTTTATGATATGCAAAATATACCTCAATAATGTTGTTTTTCAAAATGGCCAAAGAACTTGGCCACTTCACCAAAGAAGACAGAGGACTAGACAGGAAGGACATGAAAAAGGTGTTCATGATCATTAGCCATCACTACAGTGAGAGGCGTTCACGTTCCCTGGAAGGGCTGGAGTCGAATACACTGAGAGCACCAAAGACAGGGGAGACTGTAGAGCAGCTGCAACTTTTACTAGTTGGTGGTGATGTGACATTACGTGAACATTTTGGAGAGCTTTTGGCAGTTGCCCATGAGGACTTGTCTCAAGGGAAACGAAAACACACGTTCCCAAAAAGACTCCACCTGAATGATACGACAGCCGTATTCATAACTCAAACCTGGAGACATTCCAAATACCCATCCACAGAAGAATGGATAAACGATTTTTGGTATATTCATGCAGTGAGATACTAACTCATCAGTAAAAAGAAAAAACTGTTGATAACACTCAACAATCTCCGAAACTTGCTGAATAGAAGAAGCCAGACACAAAAGAATGGGTACTCATTTAGCCATTAAAGTCCGAGAACAGGGAGACTCGTCTATGCTGATAGAAGTTGGAAAATGAGGCGGGGAATGGGGAAGTGAGTGAATTGAAATAACTCTCTGGAATGATGAATATATTCTCCACCTTGTTTGGGGTGGCGGTTAGGAAGGCACATGCAATTGCCCACACTCATTTTTTTCTTATTATAACTGAACGAGCACTTAAGATCTCTTGTATTTTGTTGGATGTTAATAACATACCGCCCTTGTCTATAAGGCTTTCGTCAGTAAGTTCCGTATGGTGAAATCAACTACTGTCAAGGTAAACTAGAATATGTAATACCAGAGAATTTGCCTTTTTTAAGCCTGTGAATGTGGTGTTAGCCTTCGCAGGCACGTCGCTCTTGCTGGTCTTCATGCCTTTTCCTGCACACTGATCCTTCCAGTTCACTTCTCTGCCTCTTCCTGTTTTCCCCTCACAGAATGAATTTATTGCCAGAGCTCTAATTATTAATTTACTGTAGCTGGCCCATTATTGAATCTCTAGTATTGTCCTGTTTTGAATTCTGTTTCTGTATTTCCTACTGCATTTGAGATTTTTTTATTTATTTTTTTAAATTTTAAAACATAACTTGTATTAACTTTATCTCCATAAACTAAAAACACCTAGAGACTTTAAAAAAAAATTGCCCTAGTAGCACTTCTAATACACACGTTTAAAACTAACTGTCATCTTTCTTCTAAAGTCACCCCATCCCCATCCCTCTTTCTGGCACAGGTACCGTGCTCACAGTCCTCTGGGCCAGATGATCAGAGGCAGATTTTCTTCTTCTTCCTCTCCTCTTGCTCTGTTCCCTATCCAGTTCCCAATCCCCATTGCTTTTTCTTTTTTTCTCCATAGTCTGCCAATATATTAGTATGAAAATTTTCCAATGTATAGAAAAATTGAGAGAATTTGATAGTAATTTGCCCACCACTGAGATATTACAATGAACATTTTGCCATTTTGGCTTTCTCACGTAGCTGTCTATCCATATGCTTTTATATCTTTTCGGTCTTTTTTCTTTTAAATCTTCCTCCGTCCCTCCAGTCACCACAGACTTGAAGTATCGTTGGTGCTCTTGTCCTGCAGTCATTTCTTCTCCTTCAGTATGTTCTCTGTGCTGGGGATCTCCAGAATGATGGTGCTCAAATTATCTATTGATGTACAGGAAGAAAATGTTAGAACTTATTTTGCGTAACGTTCCTACTGGGAAAAAAAAGGAAGTTTCTTTACTATTTTGCATACAGATGGACAACGCGTTCTTTCTCATTCTGTATGTCAGATGATCACGTACAGCACCCAGAGTGTCTTGAGGGAAGAGTGGACGTAGCACCGTTACTTTTGTCAAGGGCACTGTAAAGTTTTACGGTTCACTTGTGCCCAGTTAAGGGGATATATAGACTTTGTTACTTCGTTTTTAATTCACACACGACTGAAATGTGGCTTTAAAAGATTTCTGCAAAGATACTGCCTGTTGAACATAATACAAATATGCAAGCCCAAGCGAACAGTAAGTAAACAGCAGAGAGCTGATGCTTCACATACTTCATGTGAGCTTTTTAAAACCACATTGAGGTAAAATTGATAATTGTTCATTTCGTCTTCATCTCCTTTTTTATTCTGTTTTGTGTATGCTTTATTATGTACATAGTAGTAGTATGGGACAAATATTTATGAATAACCATATACATCTTGGAAGTACATGTTAAATGTTTTGCTGATAAGGCTACATGATCCAAAACCTTTGGCCACATTGGCTATGAATCTTTCTAGAATATAACTGCCTTTTACCTCTCCCTTGCTCAGATACTTGTAATGGCTCCCTACAGTCACAGAATAAAGT